ATGGCATTCAATACTAACTCGACTTCGTGTGTGATTTTGTTGACATAAACGCAGTTATTGTCTGCGATTTGTTTGTAATCACAGTTTCGACACTAAATACAAATCAATCAATAATTGTCTTAATTATCGCCACAAATGGTTAGATGTCATCAATACTGACGGCATAGAGCAGCACTCGGGTCTCCTTGTCTTCGCGCGGATACAACATGTTATTGCTGTCAACAGGGGATCAATCAATGGATCAATTAATGGATCAATCAATGGTCAGCAGTGGTGACAATCGGACATCACTTACCATTCCTGACAGAACTTAATGCCCACAAACTTCGGTCCTTCCGGTTCGGGCTGTACTTCTTGTGCCAATCGCGGCATCGTTTGTGTCAATGAAATTAAAATACGTTAAAAGATGTCTTAAAAACAGATGAAATGATTTCAAATCAAATAAATGACAAAAACGGTGAATGTCTTCAAAACGTTGCCATCGATTGCACACAAATGACGTCACATTTGACTCAATGTATGGTTTGTTTGTAAACATGAAATGCTTTCAAATGTCAAATGTTTTGCAATTAATTTGTCGTTCATTTGAATGACTTTTAAAACATATTTTAGTTTTTATAACAATTTTTATTCATTGAAAACATTTTATAAGTTTGTGTTTCGTTGTCAAACTAATTATATAACTGACCGTGGGCATCATTTATATCATTTATAGTTATCTGACCATTATTATTAGTATAACACGTGTTTGACATTTATGACCATGGTGTCAATTATTCCATTATGATCATTGGTGGGGTTATTCAAATGGACCAGTGTCCATTCAATGTTTGTTTGCTTTTATTTGTTTCATAAAGTGATGGATCAGTTGATATACAAGTGATTCAAGTGAAGACATCGTTTGGATGACAGCTTACAGATGTGGTTAGTATTGAGACCTAATGTGCATGTTTTACCACTGTTTGACATTTGACCCTGATCGTTATTCTTAAACATATGATATGCTATATTGACCTCACATTTGAGACATGTCTTGTGCTGTAGAAGTTGAGTAACTCTTGAGTAGATGACACCAATTAGGTGTCCATTCAATGATTACCCCCTTTTGAATGCAACTTCTTTACTGTTAAAAACCATTCCTCGTGAGCCATATGTAGTCTATATTGTGGTTAGATTTGAGTCTTAAATGATAGAGTGAAGAGTTTTTGTGATAAGTTATGTCTTAATATATATGACGAAAATGGTTTCAATGAAGTAATGATTGATGTCTTGTACTGAATGTGAGAACAGGTGGTCGCGAGTCATCGAAAGACATCCAATCCTTATATTAGTGACAGTTTTGGTCGTCAACTGGACTTTGATTGCGATTTCACTATACAATCATCCGTTGCCTTCATTTGATGACCCATTGCTTGGATTTGAAGTCCGCGGCTCTCAAGTGGCCAAACGGACCAACTCTTGGAAACTAGTCCTCGACAACACATTCAATGACGCCATTGTCAGCCATTACTCCAAAAATGAGTTTAAGAATGAGTCCAAGAGTTCCAACGCTTTGGATGAGGAAGAGGTGAAACGTATCGAAGAAATGGATTCAAATCCCTATAGATCTCGAAGTCATAATCTGAAGAGGAATCAGACGTTTTGCGGACCAATACTTGAAGATTACGTTCAGTTTGTGGTCGAATCCTCGGATCAAAATGACTTGTTTTCCGTGAATTCAATGAAAACTTTGTGCCAAATCGACAGACAATTACTTCGCATGGAATCGAGTGATGGACACCATTTGTTTGAAGACAAATGCGAGACCAGAAGTTCTGGTCATTGCTGTAAGAGTTGGTCTCTTCATAATTACGTAACTCTTTTGGCGCACAAGAACTCATGCGATGGCATCGATGAGAGAGACATAATGGCAGCCAAACGTCTATTGATGTCATGTGCGCCCTATTATCACAACTTACAGCTGAGTCAGGGATGTCTCAGTGAACCGGTGTTGTGCCAAAAGGTACCCAAACAGTGCTTCCAATCGGAGAATGCAGTCTTCAATCTAATGCACTATTTGGTGGACAAAGACTTCCTGAACCCCAACACTCCCAACAAAACTCGCGTCAAATATACGAATATTTTTCTTCCGATCGCCAAAAGCACTGAATTATTGCAATATTTTAGACGATTGTCTACTAATGAGCTGAAAATGAATGGCTTAGAAGTGGTTGCGATGGACTTGGGGCTGAAGCACACACTGTTCGATGAATATCTGATCCACGACACTATTTTCTTATTCATTGCATTTATTGTGATATTGCTGTCATTATTCGTTTACACCACTTCACTCATAGTCACAACTGTTACGCTCACCACAATTGTCACCTCAATGGGAACCGCTTACTTCTTCTACACCACTGTCTTTAGAATCTCTTTCTTTCCATTTATGAATTTATTAGCCGTTGTTATCGCTGTCGGTATGGCTCATCATTTGATGTCTATTTTGAAAACAATTTAAATGAGTATATATTTTAGGCATTGGTTCCGATAATGCATTGATTTATTGCAAAGTGTGGCAAAGCATCAAATCGGACAAAACGAGTGTTATATTCGTGAAGTTAATTCGTGACACATTGAGCCACACGTGGGTCTCAGTGTTGGCCGCCAGCGCTACCACTGGTCTGGCATTCTTTGCCGGATATTTCTCTGACATCACTTCAATGAAATGCTTTAGGTTTGTGTCCATTTCATTCACTATGAAATGATTGAATTTATGTATTTAATGAGTAATCAAATGAATGACTTTACAGTCTATTCGCGAGCACATCCATTGCCGTCAATTTTGTCTTAACAATGCTTTTGCTTCCGTCGTCTGTAATAATTGCCGAAAAGTTTTCATCCAATTATTTCTCATTTAATACTTTTTGGAGATTTCATTCGTTTACTACTTTTATCGCGAAATTATTTTTCGAGAAACTACTCTTAAAAGCAGTACTCAAATGCCGTTATATTATTGTACTATTGTTTGGAATGGTATCCATTTATTCAGTGATAGTCGTTGTGATTACACCTAAACTAAAACTTCCAGATTCTGAAGAGTTCCAGATTTTTAGTGCCAATCATTACTTCGAAAGATATGACTTGGAGTTTAAGAACCAATTCTGGTTTAAACGCATTAGGGATCAGAATAATGACTACTTATACTATATGCCCATTAGAGTAGTATTTGGTGTCGACGCTCAAGACAATGGCGATTACCTAAACCCTTCGAGTAGGGGTTCATTACAATTAGCTTCAAATTTTGACATCTCTTCCCAAAGCAGCCAATTATGGCTCTTTGAGTTCTGCAAAGACATTCGTAACCAAAGCTTTTATAGGCCCACAATCGGACCCTTACTCTCAAACTGTTTTATCGAGACATTCAAGTCATGGATGGAAGACCGGGAATGTGTGGATGATATCAATCATGTGGACCGAAGTCCTTGTTGTAGAAATTCTCGCTTCCCTTACAAGCCATTGGTTTTCGACATGTGTTTGAATAAATTGATTGACTTATTGGGCAAAACTCCCGATTATTTCCTGACCCACCACTGGGCCGGACCTCGATTTGACAGGAAATCTCTGCAAATGGTGGCCGCAGTCGTCGAGTATGACTCCATTTACACGTTCTCTCATTCTTTTGTCGAAATGAATAAGTTTTGGACAGAAGTTAATGACTGGGTTTCCAACCAAATGAGAAGTGCTCCCAAAGGCTTACGCGAGGGATGGCTTATTAGCAGTCAAATGGACTTCTATGCCCTCCAACTCTCACTGTCCGACGGAACCATTAAATCCATTTTATTCGCCGTTTTCTTCGCATTCGTAGCACTCATCACAACCACTTGCAACTGGAGGTTAAGTGTGTTGTCAACCATTACTATCTCATCCATTATCTTCTCGACAATCGCTATATTAGTGGCACTTAATTGGAAACTCAATGTTTTAGAGAGTATTAGTATTTTATTAGCCATTGGTTTGGCCATTGATTTTACGCTTCACTACAGCATTGCATACAAATTGTCGACACAAGCGGTAAAGACTTTGACGAATGCATTATATTTGATATTTTCACTAATAAATGACATGTTTTAGGAAAACCCAATGAATGCCATTCATTATTCTTTGTGCCGAATCGCGAGTCCAGTGGCGATGGCAGCTCTCACCACATGTATAGCCGGGTTCTTAATGCTGTTCTCCTCTATCCTGGCGTACGTACAAATCGGCACTTTTCTCATTGTCTTATCATCTGTCAGTTGGTTATATTCAACAGTCTTTCATTTGGTTTGTAATCCATATTTAGTTTATTATAGCAGTTGTGTTCAATGCAATCATAATGTATTATATGTTACCACAGAGTCTATTAAGTATTTTTGGTTCGCATACCACGAGTGGAAAACCGGAACCATTGCTCTACTGTTGTCTTGTTTGCAACGATTCCTCAAATAATGTCAATTCAATGCTCCAGAGCTCGACATTGGAGTCGATTACAAGTGATTCGAAGCAAAACAATAGGAATAACGGGTCGATTGCACCGACATTTTCAATGACGAGCTTTTTATCTTCGAGTCCAACGGAGAGTACATTAAGTGCTCAACACATCCAAAGCCAAACAGAATGCCATGAAATGCAACAAATGGTCGATTCAACAAAATAATGAATCCATAAATTTCTCAATTTATTTTAAATATGATCTCAAATTTAGTGCCAATTCTACAGTATTTCTAATTTAAGAAATTGTCTCAAAATAATTGTTTATTAAATTAAATCAAATGTGGAATATTTACATAATTTTTGCTCCAAAAATATAATAAAATTTAAAGATATTTATTTCTTTAAATATAAATCAATTATTATTTGTTATGGTTTTAAACCTTCTTTTAGCCGACCGTTCGTTATGTAAATCAAAAGCTTTTGCCAACACATCGATAGTGAAGGTTATGTCCTCTTCATTGATACACATCGGAGGCTTCACTCGAAAAACATTGCCTTTCGGCCCTTAAAAGTGTTAAATCATAAGTTATTTTGTGTTCATTGAACTCAATTCAAAAGTGTCATTATAGACCTCCCCTTCCAATGAGTAAACCCATGTCTCTGCAGTCCTCCAAAATTGAGTCAAAGTCTGCTTTAATCATTGGTTTTCTCTCTTTCTATAAAATTGATTCAATTATTTATATATACATTATTGGTCTACAAAATGAAACAATATTCTTGTGTTGTATACTAACGGCACTACTTGTCAGCTCCACTCCAATCATAAGGCCTTTCCCTCTAACGTCTCCAATAATATCAGGATATTTGTTGCGAAGATTTTCCAATTCTGTCAATAATTTGGAACCAATAATATGGCAGTTATTCTGGAGATTCTCTTCGTCTATGATTTTGAGAACATTGAGTCCAACACAAGACGCTAACTGTTGACACAAATTATCACTTATTTATTCATTTAAATAAATTTTCTATCTTAAGACTAATATGACATTCTCTGCCAAATACTGACAGGATTTCCTCCAAATGTATTGAAATAAGAGGCTTCGGTCAGTGTTTTGGCGATGGAGGCAGTGGTGGCCACAGCGGCCAATGGAAACCCATTGCCTATACTTTTAGCCATTGTTACTGAAATTGCACTCATTTTATAAACTTGTATTTTAATTGAATCAATATAAACTAACCAATATCTGGAATAACTCCATGTCCCTCAAACCCCCAAAAGTGAGTCCCAGTGCGTCCAAAACCCGTTTGGACCTAATTGATCATTTTTGTGAACAATAGTGACAAATATAAGAACTTTAATAACCCTCACCTCATCTACAATACAGACACCATTCCTTTGCCGAACTGAAACATTCAAAACAATTATCGATTCATTAAATAATAGTCAATCAATGAAAGGAATATAATATAAGCAAATAAGTAATGGAAACCCATTTCAAAAGCTCTTTTCAGGAAGTTTTTGGGGAACTGAACCACTCCTCCGACCCCTTGAATGGACTCCGCAATGAAAGCGCAAACATTTTTGGGTAGAGTCGAGTCAAACAGTTGCTCCAAATCTTCGACATACATATCCTCTGCTTTGCAGTGACCCGGCTCACAGTCACACTGGCGGGTAGTCTGGATGATAGAGTCCCTACAATTACTGCCCCCAAAGCTGTAAGAATTAAGAAATTAGATGTACAGTACCATAATTATAGACTAATTGGCAAAATTGGACGTACCGTCCAGAATAAGGATCGGGGTTAGTGGTGTGATGAATACCAAAGTGTAAGGGGAGGGGGAACCTCCAACTTTGAACCCCACACAAGGGTTGAGTACTGGTAGAGTCGCCGTGATATGCATTACGTAAAGCTATTATGTCATAAGATTTGGTGTAAAGCCTGTGTTGTATTCAGAGATTAGACTTAACCACAAACTATTGATAACTGAATGCAAACCTCGCCATAAGTATAGCGATGTCATTGGCTTCGGAACCAGAATTGCAGAAAAATATGTTATTCAATGGTTCCGGCAGTCTATTCGCTAAATTGGACGCATATTCATGGATCTCCTCGTTGTAGTAAATACTACTCGTGTGCCATAACTTCTTGAGCTGTTTGGTTGTGGCCTCGACCAGCTTTGGGTGACAGTGACCCACACTTGTCGTCGCTACTCCTCCGAACATGTCTTAACCCATAATTCATTATTAAAATTTATTATTCATAGTAAGTTATGTCAACCTCTGTACTGTATAACTGTACTGTATATTTGCCTAATATTTCACTAGTTTTAACATTTTAAATAAAATTACAAATTCACCAGAATATAAAAATTTAAATTTTAAATATTTATAAATTTTAAAATGTGTTTTGAATTGATGGTCTGAATTCAATCTGTTTTATATAAGAAATAGATTGCATAATAATATTAAATAAGATTAACTTTTGCAATGAATGACAAATTCATCGAGTTTTGAATGACTTAAAATTCAAACTTCTAGTCTTATAGACGAGAAGATTAAAAAATCTTTTTTATATGCATTTCATTTAAATTTAAATTTAAAATTATACAGTATTTATCATTTAAAGAAATCATCAAGATCATATAACGTAATATTTTAGATAGTACAATATCTAGAATTGGTAAAAGTGCTAAAATCACAAAATAAATATTAAGAACTATAATAAAATAAGTATTCAATAATTTTTACAATAAAAATCTATACCCTCTAAGAATTTTTAGTTTTCATATAATTTAATTGTAGGTGGTTGATTATGTTAATGTTTTAGTATTTATTTTCAAATGTTGCTTGTGAAGAACAGTGTTACAACTGTTTACACTTTTTACTGTATCATGGTGAACTCTAACTTGCTAATTATTATACAGCTAAATATCTGATTTTGGCAAACATTTTATTTATATATATTAAAAACTTTAGTTAATGTTTTAAATATTTATTAAAAGATTGATTATACAGTAATTTCAAGGTTCACATATCTGTTTAACAAGGATATTAACTAATTGATTATTAAAAAATTAATATACTGTATAAGCACTAACAACAATATTATATTTAATATATACTAAAACTTATATTGTTTGTCACATTTAATGCAATTAAAATATTAAAAATATCACAGTATTGTATTGGGTTTTAATTTGATTTATAATTAAAAATATTCCTTGTGGATTAAACAACAAATAGATAATTACCTAAATATCTCTTGTTTTCATTATCCCAGACATATTGCATATATCCCTGGGTAATGAGAACAGGCTTTTGATACCAGGGTTTAAGACATGGATTCAAATTGAGTTTATGGATGGTTTCGATCTCGAAGTTACCTAATCGTGACTTCGCATACAAAAACAAATACAACTTATTTGTTTGACACTCACTTTATAGCAATTGTTTGATTCCTTAGACTTACTTTAGAGTTGTTTGCATTGAAATCACATTTTGGAAGTTCTGGCCGTCTCTTCGAATAATATCTCAAATGATTTAATCGTATTTTTACACAATTTTTATTAAATATGGATAAACTGTTCATATTTTGTTTAAAATACAAATATTTGAAAATTGAATAAACAATGAATGCATGAATACATGGACTACTGCTCTGTATTTGCCAACAGATGTACAAAAACTGGACTCCACTTTAGGTTATGTGAGGAGAGGAGAGAGAGAGTGTGTGTTAAGGGATAGGAGTTTCCAGGGTTTCAGACAAGTATTTGACTGCACTCTATATGTTTAGGATTCGTATAAATCACTTTAAATCTGAAGTTATCCCTCGAAAAAGATGGCAAAACTGCAAGATCTATATAATCGTAAGCATTGGAGTCCATGTCTTCATTCATGTGTTTGTCTGCAATGAGCACAAAGTCTGGCAAATGAAATAGAGAGAGACAACTGTGCAAATTGGTGGACAACCCGGCGCTCAGGTGTCCGTTCGATGCCATTAGTTTGAGTACAGAAGCGCCCAATTCAGCCGATTCTTCAGTGCTGTTGTGTATCATATGTTTGCGAAGTTTCGGTATATAGGGAAAGGCAGACAAACATAGGTGTCGGCCGTCTATGTATATATTGACCGGATTTGTGGCCAAATGGAAATTACTTATTAGTTTTGTTGTCATCGGAAACATATCAACAGTAAAGGCACACCTAATCAACAAAATTAAAATCATTGCAATCAATAATAGCCCTCAAATTAATTTGATATTTAGTGACTACTACTGTATATTACTCCCGTAGTATACAGTACAGTACAGTACAGTAGTAAGTACTTACTAGAGTTTAACTAAGTTTTACAAAACTTTGAACAAACTTTTACATAACGTAACAAAGAGTTTTAACTATAGTATAATGGTAACTTTTGATATAAAACTTTAAAATATTGGTAATAAAAATGTGTAAAATGAATACTTACTTCGGAATATCAGTGCCTTTTATGTCATTAAATCCGGGAATAAATATAAATTGAGAATAGTTTGAGATTTTATTAAATTTGGAAATTAATTTAACCAAACTTTTCATGTGAGCTGTAAATTGAATTCATATCAATATTAAAGAATATTCTGTATTTCAATATTAAAGTCATATTAAGAGTATAACTTATAATAGACGGCATTGTATTGAAAAAATTACAAAATAAATGTTTATTCAAAAGTGAAATACCTTTCAAATCTGAGACTTCATCGCATGGTTTGGACATAAAGTCTCCCACAAAGACAAAGGCATCGGGAATGGGAACCATTGAGTCATATCCTGTCAACAATGTCTTCAGTTTATCCAAAGTGTTCTCATCGTCCAAATGGACATCAGATACAACGACAAGCATTCTTCCGGTTCGTAAAAGACAAAGGCATCGGGAATGGGAACCATTGAGTCATATCCTGTCAACAATGTCTTCAGTTTATCCAAAGTGTTCTCATCGTCCAAATGGACATCAGATACAACGACAAGCATTCTTCCGGTTCGTTGCAAACTGTTGGACACTTCAAGAGTGGAACTCAAGTCGATTGGCGGCGACTGACCGATGCTATCGACATAAAGACAATCTTTGGGCGAATCATAAGTGCCTTCGATTAACACAAAACTGTTTTCGACGGCCAATGAGTCCCTGAATTGGGTCTCGTCTGTGAAGACCACCGGAACTCTTCCCGAGTTATCTTCAATGAGAAATTCATTGATTTTCGACGAGTTCTTCATTAAGAACCCGAAGACTAGGCATTCAATGGTCTCTTTCGATGATGTGATCAACGAATCAATTTCTGTGAGTTTGAAGTTCTTGGTGTCGAAAATGGGATGTCTTTGCAGGTGTTGTCGCAATTGAATCAAATGCTTGAGGAATGTCTTGCTTTTGTTGCCATTGTTGCCATCATTGGCCACATTCTTCACAATGAGTTGGTTGTCAGTGGTTGTGGTGATGCGTCTGTCCCTCAACTCATTGATCACCTCTTGAGTGGTGTCCGCGTCCACCAGAAATGAGTCCAATTTGTGTCCAATCATTAAGTGGTGAATGAATTGAGTGATGAAGTGATCGATGGACTCATACGGAGGGAAAGCATTCAAGATCTCGGACTCAATGAGAGTGAGGGCACCACTCAATGCATTCACTCCCGAGATGTGAAGTCTTCGCTCCACTTCTTTACGACTGATTGCCATCGGATTTGCCATCAATTGATCCACTCGTCTGTCACTTCTTCCTTCAAATTCTTTTCAAATGATATCACATTTCATCGCAATTTGCGCCAAAATATTCAACACTTAGAGGTGTTTGCGGTTTAGGTTATCAATACATATATAACGTTATACGGTAGTAGAGGGGGAGGGAGTCATTGAGAGTAACTTTTTGAGCAATAATTGTAGACTTTTTACAGTATGTAGTGATTGAAAGGGGACTCAAAAGTGAATTAATTTGTGTGTTATTTGTGAACAACTCTTCTCAACGGAGATCTCTATTCATATGATTTGAAAACATTTAAAAAGCGGTAAAAATGCGTTGAATTTGTTATTCATTTGATTTGATTTGAGATGAAATTTGATTGAAATTATGGATAAAAGCAATCATTTAATGAATAATATGTGGAAAATGTGTGAAAACAATACATTTCTTAAGGAAATGTTAAGTCAGACCACTCTTAACGCTTCCAATGAGTTCGACATGAATGAAGAGGTCGTTTCAAACAGTGGTATTGATTTGCATGGAGTGGTCACTGAAGACATGAATGAACCCATGGATAGAGACAATACAGACACCGAAATGAGTACATTAGGTCTCATCGGTGATCGACAAGACCTATATTCGGACACGAGTTCAGCCCTTGTATTGAAAGACATCTCAATGGACGTGAATTTGACGCCAACTCTGGAGATGAGACACAATCACAGCAAAAGACAACAATTGTTTGGATTTCATAAACAAAAGCAATTGTTTTTAAACCAACCGATCATTCAAAGGGACGACATCTGTGTGGACAACAGCTTAGGATTATCACCGCTTAAGAGACACTTCATACCAGACAACGACGACAGTGACAGTGAACTCAGTTTTGCCATCAATTTATCCACTGATCAAAGTTAGACAATATTTGGCTCTTAATGTCAACACATTTTGATTATATCTTTCATTTCAGACAACGAAAGCAATGGATTTGACGGCGCCTTCAGTGGTATTCAGATGAATAGTTTTCAATCAAATCATATGTCGTGTAGAGAAGACCCCGAGTTTTGTGGCGAACACTTCAAGTCTGTCAGCAAGTGTTCAGACCTCGAGTTGAAGGCTGAGGCGTTGGTCGACACCAATGAGACATTCCGTTCGCCGAACTCCGAGTTTCGAGACAAAAGCATATCTTCTTATTTCAAACAACATTCAGAACCGCTTTCTTCGATCCAAACATTTGGCGATTCATTTCAGATGAAAGCCGAAGACATTTGTACTAAAATTCCTCATCAGAACGACTTGTCTTTAATTAATGAGTCGTTTGTATCGATTAGCGACTCTTTGTTCAGCGCTTCCAATAATACATTAGAAAACGTTCAGAAGATAATTGATCGCAAGAATAGGAAACGGAAATCGAGATTAAGTAATGCCTCCACTCTTTCCGAATGCCATTCGTTTACTCCGAGTGTGAACTCAACTCTTCGTTCATCTGAGAGTATCAGCACAAGTGATGTCCATAAGAGTACAACTGTGGTCACATCGGGAGTGGGGACCCTATCAACGGTGCAAACATATAGCCCTAACTCAGACAGCAGTCACTCGATTGCCTTAACGAATGCCAACACCTTATGTCTCAATCAAATGCTTGTCGTCTCACCCAATGTGTTGTCCCTTACTATCGGCTGTTTCGTTGAGTTTAAACTCAATTATCTGAAAGTCAAGAATTTGTCGATCACTTCATTTAAAGCTGAGATTAAAATCAATGCAAATGTCGACACTTTGAATGCTTTGAGCATTCAATACCCCAAACATGTGATCAATATTCCGGCTTTCTTTGAGGGACTTCTCACTCAAGATATAGCTATCATTCCGTTAAAGTGCGGCTCATTTACTGTTGCATTTCAAATATACCCGTCCATTGAAAGCATTAATTTGCCGATCAGTCCGTTGTCTGTCATTTGTCACATCAAGTCAGAGGAAGTGGTCATCAAAAGACCTCTCTTTTCGTCCAATTACTTGCAAATCCATTACAATCTATTCGATGAAGAGATTGAAAAGCAAACCATCGATTTATGTGTTAATAATACAAACTTTTCGGATGTAATTCCTCTGAAGCTATGCTTGGAAGCCAACAAAGGCTTTATATTCGAGCCCTTATACAGACATTCAGACAGTACTATCCATACGTTCCGGTGCTTAGACCCGCAGACACTGTTTGTTGCGACCAAAACTCAGTACGAAATACGAGTGCCTCTAATCATCAAAGGGAATGGCGTTCGAGACGTGGACTCGTGTCTAACGGTGTCCACCGATTCACCACAGAGTCATGTGTTGGCCATCTTTCAATTGAGGGCCACTTTTTGGCCAAAGGTTTGCAAACATTTACACTACAAGTAGTTACCAATTGTTATATTTGTTATAAAACATTATTTTGAAATGCATTACAGAGTAAACTAACGGAACACTTGCTTCAAAGCTCTCAGACCAGTGTATGTCTATCGAGAGGTGTCTGGAAAACAATGAATTTTCGTAACAAATCCAACAAATGTCTAATTCGTGTACATCTGGAGTGCGTTTGTGGCAAAAGGGTCGCACAAAATGTAATGAAATTTTCTTCGACTCAACTAATGATCGGTCCGTCAGAAAAGGTTTCCATCGCTTTAATGGCTCACAAGAACCCTGTGGTTAAGGGCGAGAAGTTCCACATATCAGTCAAATATGACACCGGATTCGGCAAATCAGTTCCTGTCCTCATTCCCGTCCAAATCATTTGATTTGTTTATCAGATTTAGAATTTATTTATTATTATTTTAACGGATATATTATACTTTTTAATTTTATTTTACTGGAAAACCATTTATTATCATAAGTTATATTCCACTCAATCTATCAATTATTAATGATTATTATTTTTTATGTAGAAATCAAATAATAAATGAGTGAATATTTGGAAGTTTTATTGAATTAACTAATAATTAATATAAACAACAAATCAATTTGTGTTAATTTAAGACTAATTAATGGATGCGATTCTAATCTACTATAAGTTAATGTAAACAATTTGAGTTCAAATAAGTATAATCTCTAAATTAATGTTATTTACTGTATATTAATAATTATATGTATAATTTATTATATATTATTGTATTTGAAATAATAGATAATGTCTTCAAATATAATATAATGTATATTGAAATATATTATAAATTGTAATTCAAATGGGATTTTTAAGAATCCGTTTTTGTCTGTAATCATACACTTTTCGACAACAAAATACTAGTTCTGGGAAAACACGAGTCGGAGGCATGCGATCCATTCGGGGATAGGACTCATCCAACGGAGGAACGGTATTCGAAGTGAGACATGTGGACAGAGCGGACTGTTTCAGTAATTTCAAGCGTTTATATCGACAAAACTCGTTATAAGTGAGAACATAGCACTTGTCATCAATACACGCCACACTATTGACATCCCTGTGCTTCGATGCAAATATCTCGGTCAGCATCTGATTGGAGTAGTATTCGAGATCAGTGTGTTCTGGACGGTAGTACCACAACAAACTCATCATCATTTCACCTGAAAATATAATCATTCAATACATTGACATTCATCACAATTAGAAACACTCATTGTTCAGACCTTCAGGTGTTTCCCAGAGGGCGGCGATCTTAGCCACAAACGGAAGGTCTGTCTTTCGGGGCCCACTTCGCAGGAGAACACAGTCTCGCACACGGATTACGTCGCCCTCATTGTGACGGATCGCCGGAAAACACTTTCGTAAATAAGACTGTTCTTCGTTCTGTCAAATGGTAATCCAGTTATAGTTTAATCATTCACTCAAATACCGTAATTAAAACATTAAACCAATTGATACGTACGTTTAAATAAACATATTTATCGACGGCCTTTCCCTCCCACGACCAGCCGTGAGAGTTTCGCTTCCGATTCGGTCTTTTCAAAGGCAAGAGTCGATTCAATGGCGAAGGCGTTGATGGCATTGACGGCACTGATGGCATGGATGCCGAAGGCAATGATGTGTTACTCTGAACGCAGACTGCTTTCATAGTCTTTGGTTGAGAATTCACTTTATTTATTGAGTTTAGTTTGTTTTGATTCGAAGGGGTTATAGACTTAACACTCTTGGCTGAAGAACTTTGTTCCACAAGTGGTTCACATTCAGTGGTCAGAGTCTGTGTGTTGTTGTCGCGAACGATCACTTCATCATTATCTCTATTTGATGTGTGCTTTAAAAGCAGAGATTTCTTTCTCTTTTCACTTCTATGGTCTGATTTATTGGTCCTTTTATTGCAAGAGTTTTGTGGTTCGTGTGGTGCGGTCACAGACGCCTTGTCCACCATATGAGACATTCGGACCAAACTATCCGTTGAATCGCAGAATGGATTCTCAGGCAATGTTTGAAAGCTGTCTCTACTTTGAGGCGAACACTGAATACTTTTAGATATTTGCTGTCGAGAGGTGTTATCATTGGATATCTGTTCCACTGAAGAGTTAGTGGTATTTGTATTCACTATGGGATGTGAATTTCGATTCAAATAATTCATATCATTGGTGACAATGTGTGTCGGGGTTTCATTTGTGGTCAGATGTTCACTACTGACAAACGTCGGGTGCGTGTAGTGGACGCCTGGATTAAAAAGAGTGAAAGTTGTGGCATTTGGCGCCATTGAAGCGCTATTATGAGGCATTGCCTGGAAAAATAAGGTCTGCGGGGGTCTGAGAGGTGTGGCCAACTGATGGAAGTACTGTCCATTCGGATGGAACGCTTGAGTTAATTCTGATGGGAATGTCTGAGTGTTTTGTGTCCCGAGATTTGGGTTTGAGAACTGAGGGCTACTGTGGATGTGATTGATTTGAGAGTTCGGCGGATGAAATGGAATCGGTTTATGAATAAGACAGGGGTCTTGAAATGGCTGCAGGAGAGGGCCGGCCGGCTGATAGATTCCCGCGTGAAAGTAGTTGAATGGGGTCGGGGCGGCCGGGTGTGTGTGAGTTGCGAAGTGAGGCACCGTAAAGGCACTGCTATAGTGTGTGGGGTAGGGCTCAGACAAATTGATTATTGGCATCTGGTTTATGGTGGGCGCTGAGGAGATGGCCT